TTAATTACTTAATTTTAGTAATAATAATAATAATCCTAATGATAATAATATTAATACTAATACTATTACTACTACTAATAATAATGATAATAACATTAATAATAATACTAATGAAATATCTCGTTATTTATATTATTATCATTATAATATTATCTTAGCATTTATTTCTGGTTAATTCATTCTACCAAGTTGTCACACTCACCCTTGCACACATACCCTTAACTAAGACAATGTCAAAATAATCACAAAAATAAATTACAAAACGACTAAATAAGCATGCGTAATAGTTGAGAAGAAAAACAAAACCATAAGTGTGCTTCATGAAGAAAAAGAAAAGCTTTTCTTAACCATCACACGTCAGGAAGAAGAAATTATGTTGTTGAATGCTAAACTTGAAAATATGTTAGAATTTACACATATGATGAACAATCGTTCAAAAATGTTGGATGATATCTTAGAAGGGAATATGAAGGATGTAGGGTTTAACTATAGTTTCATTAAAAAAAGATCAAAGTCCCTCATAAGAAGAAGAATAAGTTTTAGATGGTGGACCAAATGTCTCAGCATCGTGCTCGACATGTGTACCCTTAACATAAAGGTTACAAGAACTCTACAAAGAGATGTTACCGTCGTGGTAGATATGGTCATATAAGACCCTTTTGTTATAAACTGTATGGATATCCTCAATCATATAGTCAGCCAAGGCTCAACAAAAGAAAATAGAAGAAAACTCATGCAAATAAAGTATGGAGACCCAAGGAAACTATCAAGTGTCTCTTAAAGTTTCTTCTAGAGAGGATTGGTATTTTGATAGTGGATGTTCACATTATATGACTGGTGAAAGGAGCTATATTAAAGAATTAAAAACCTCCCTCAAAGTTATGTTATCTTTGGTGATGGAGCTAGAAGAAAGATCAAAGGCATAAGAAAAATGGTTTATCCAGGTCTCCCTAGTCTTGATGAAGTACTATTAGTAGAATATCTTACTGCAAACTTGATCAGCATAAGTCAACTATGTGGTTTGAGTCTTAATGTGAACTTTAACAAGTATGGATGTATTGTCCCCACCAAGGATCAAGAAGTGTTAATGAATGGGTTAAGATCCAAGGACAACTGTTATATGTGGATTAGAAGTCATCCCTCAACAAACTTGGAAGGTGAGACCAAAATTATACATCATAAACTCAAGAACATTGAAGATTGAAAGACGACCAAGATATCCCACACGACGCTCCAACATCATACCACTCCAATGAGCCCGGAGTTAATGCACGTGGGAAACATAGGAGAAATAAATGAAACCCTTTATGTTAAGAATGATAATGAAGAACTCATGATAGCTAAGAGTCATGGAAAGTTGGGCCAAATGTTTGGACATTTTCTCAAGCATGTGAAGCCTGAGGTTATGATAAAACTAAGAAAGATAGTTACAACTTTTCTTAAGTGTAAATTAATCCCTTAAAGCAAGTATGGTCTAATAAGAAAAAGGGTATTGTTGACATTTGATTATGTGACAATTTATTGCAATCAAGGAAATGTGAAAAATGGAAGCTCATCTCTCTTGTGATCATTATAAGACAAGAAACAAGGTGCATTTTTCTTATTTTAACTCAGTTTCAAAATCTCTATAAGCCCACACTCCTAAAGAAGTATCTCTGACTCATTTGGTTCACACAAACCATTCATCTCTCTCATTCCCCCAAGTCATCAAATTTTCTAAAAAATTAGTCATGAATATGATATTAACAAAACCTCTAAGCCCAAACCTGTCACAAACTGATATGGGGTCAAGATGTTAGGAGTCAAAATGGGAGAAAAGGCTCTTCTAAGAAACCTAAGGTTTCTGAATCTAGCTAAAGGGCTGACAAGAAAGATGTTATATAGGATGTTAAACCTCTTTGGATGATTGTTCTCACCGATATCTCTGAGAAGAATCTCAAACGCCCTGGTTTCAAAAAGCGTGACTCAAAAAAAGGGTAACCCTCCCGGTTCAAGATACCTCTATGCATGATCTTGAAAAAGTCATTAAATATATTATTAATTATACTTCTGAAAATGCTGTTGAGACTTGTAAAATAAACCTTGGTTAACATCTTGAACCATCAGGTACGACATCTAATGAACCTCTTGTTAAATCTCAAGACAACACCACTACTGAAAATCCTAAAGTGGGTAAGCATTTGATTATAATTTGAATGAGACTTCAGAAGATTTGAGGAATGAGGACCCTCAACACCATGAGGCTGGCATTTATTGTAAAAGGATTGAGAAAAAGACAATATGGATGATGACAATCCCATTGCCAACCCCGTGATAAAAATTATTGAGAAAAGGCTGCTCAAGAACTAACTCTAACTATTTTGAAAAGGTTAGATAAGTCTATTTCTAATAACACTAAAGGTAAAAAGCAGAAGGTTGATACCCCAAATCCTACTATGAAGATTGTGAAGAAGAACATTCCTAGGACAAGTCCATTGAAAAGTAAGAAAAATGGTCCTTCTAAGACTGCTCTTGTGAAGAAAAATACTCCTCAAAGGTCACTTGTGAAGAAGAGGAGAGTTGAAGAGGAGAAGTCTCTCAAAAGAAAAATTGCTCAATATAGTGAGTTAGAGACATATGTCGAAGATGATGTCTACAATATTGTACCCACTTTTAGAAGAAAAGTTTATGGAACAATAGTTCTTGTGAATGTTCCAGTTGCACCTTTGGACAACATGTCATTTACTCTGAATCAAGTGCTCAGAGATGGAAATATTCGTGTCAAAGGAGTATTTCTCAAGAAAATGAGTTGAGTTAAGCAACCTTGAATTACAAAGAGATTGCAAAACTGCTAAAGACTACATGACTGATGAAAATTGTTACTAAGATTGACCCCTGCTATAAAAAGCTGGTTAGATAATTTATTGTAAATATCTCACTTGTCTGCAATGATGAAGAAAGCCAGGAGTTCAGAAAAGTGTATGTCAGAGGAAAATGTGTTAAGTTTTCTCCCGCAGTTATCAATAATTATCTGTGTAGAAGTAAGTCTTAAGGATCTTATAAGACTCCTTCAATTGACAAAATTGCTAATGAACTAACTATTAGGAAGGTGAAGAATTGACCCAACGAAGGGTTCCTCCCCAGTGAAAAATTAAGCGTGAAGTATGATATCTTGAATATGATTGGTGCATCAAACTGGGTACCCACAAATCACAACTCTAGTATTACTGCTGCTTTAGACAAGCTTATTTTCTTAATTAGCACAAAAGCCAAAGTGAACTTTGGTGACTATGTGCTTGATCAAATAATGAATCATGCATATTCCTTTGCTTGTTTAGGGATAAAGGATCTTAGACTTGTTAATCTTACCTTGCTAAGTAAGTGGAGGTGGATGATTCTTTTGAACTTGCCTTCGCTTTAGAGAGACATTGGCAATGTAAGGTATTTATGGGTCACATGGTTTTGGACCACTTTGTGTGGCAAATAATATCACCATAGGAGGTTGTCTCGTTCGTGGAGAGGTGTTTCTCTCCTTTGGTCTCCATCGAATCAGGAGTATGCCTAATTTATGCTCATCTTTTATTAATATGGTTTGGAATGATCAAAAGACAAGGTTTTGACATGATGTTTAGGCGAGGACTACCCCTGTATGTGTTTATTATGAGAGATTATTTATTATCTTAGAACAAAAATTATAGGTGATGAGTTTTTTATATTCTTGAGTCCTACTTTGTTATTAATTTTTTTAAAATTAAAACGTGTTTTAATCAATAATTTAGGTTCACGAAACAACTAACTAATATATAATGACTCATTAGACCTTTTTATACGAAAATATTTGATTAAAATTCTCGTCTTCAAGTTGAAAAATATTAGACCTTTTTATACGAAAATATTTGATTAAAATTCTCGTCTTCAAGTTGAAAAATATCTACAAACACTCTAAATCTAAAATATCTGCAAACACTCTGAATCTAAAACTCACATATAGTTGAGGCATCATAAAATAGCTTTAAAATAAAACATACCTTAAAAAAAGTGATATAAGACATAATCTAGAATAGATAGTATGAACATAACACCCTATTCATGTTACCTAAATTTATTATTTATCTATAGAAATGTTTCTGACACGTGTTAATAACTGTATAACATATGGTCATATATAACTGTATAACATATGGTCATATACAAGTTGCTATTGCTAACGATGTTCCATAAACATCATTGAAATGTCAATTATAAAACAAATCAAAAAATTGGTACAAACTTTGGAAGTTTTCTATGGATAATGATACCGTTCCATAATTCAATATTAGAATGTTAGCGACAAATCAACTATTACCAACAAAAGAACAAAACGATTTGGTAAGTCACGTGCTCAACGTAAGGGTCTCACTCTAGAAGGATAGGTATATCGAAGGGTTAGTTAGGCAGCAAGTTGTTCTTCCAAAAATATTGTCAAATTTATTCAAAGAAATACTATAACAAATATATTTCTATAAGACAAATTTCCAACTTAAACTCTTAAAATGTAAAGTAATAATTATAATTTTATAATTGTTGGGAAGGAGAACGTGTGACAAAGATTCAAACCTTAATCGCCACATAAATTTTTTTAGACACAAACCACTAAATATATTTGTATTTATGATAAAAAAACAAAAAAGTAACTAAGTTAACATATTAGAATTTTTATGCTATTATAATTGAGAATAAAAAAACTAAGAAAGAATAATTTTAATTAATGATATTTTTGATATATATTATAAAAAATATTTCTAAACTAACAATTCTAAAATATGTATATTTTTACAAACTCTTTTAATAATATAAATTCAATTGTTAATCTAAATTATTTTTGTCTTTGTTTAAAATTTGTTGATTGGCAAGTGAAGATCAACCTCTTCCATATATTTGTCGTAGGGAAATATAGCAACAAATCTTCTATAAAATCAGCACACACCAATTCAACTTATTCAACCAAAATCAAAGGAGGAAAAAATCAAGAAAAAAAAATTATGGGTTCTGTGTCTGAAACTGTTTGTGTCACCGGGGCCGCGGGTTTCATCGGATCATGGCTCGTCATGAGACTCATGGAGCACGGTTATACCGTTCGAGCCACCGTTCGCGATCCGGGTTCGTGTTTTATGTCGCATTATATTATATATACCATGCATAAATTAAGTCACATTTTTTAGACTAACAAATTTTTTTTACTAAGTTAATTAAGGATTATGGATTTAATATACGTAGATAACATGAAGAAGGTGAAGCATTTGTTGGAACTGCCGGGTGCAAATAGCAAATTGACTCTTTGGAAAGCTGATCTTGCTGAAGAGGGAAGTTTTGATGAAGCAATCAAAGGTTGTACTGGAGTTTTTCATGTGGCTACACCAATGGATTTTGAATCCAAGGACCCTGAGGTATATAACTAAATATAATTGATAAAAGTTAGTTGAGAAAAAAAATCTTGAAATACAAAATGTTTGAACTTTGATTTGAATTGTAGAATGAAGTGATCAAGCCTACCATAAATGGAGTACTAGACATCATGAAAGCATGCCTCAAGGCGAAAACTGTTCGGAGAATGGTTTTCACGTCATCGGCTGGATCACTCAACGTCACTGAAAATCAAAAGCTCTTGTGGGACGAGAGCGATTGGAGTGACGTCGAGTTTTGTCGGAGAGTTAAAATGACTGGATGGGTTAGATGTTTATTTTCATCCATACATTTTCTTTCAATTTTTTTAGGTTACATCATTATCACTTTGAATTAACAAAGATTTTATTTTATGAAGATGTATTTTGTTTCTAAGACACTTGCTGAACAAGAAGCATGGAAATTTGCTAAAGAGAACAACATGGATTTAATCACAATCATTCCACCTCTTGTTGTTGGTCCTTTTCTTAGTCCATCTATGCCACCTAGCTTAATCACTGCCCTTTCTCCTATTACAGGTATTATATAAAAATTATAAAAACTTAATGAAATTATAACATGGTTAAGTTTTCGAGAATTTCTCGATCGATCATATAATATTGACATAAAAATATTATCGAAATGATCATACTGGTAAATTTACGGTGTGGATAGAGAAATATCGTAATTTTTTTACATGAATTGGCAGGGAATGATGCCCATTATTCAATAATAAAACAAGGTCAATTTGTTCATTTGGATGATCTTTGTGAAGCTCATATATTCTTGTTTGAGCATCTGGAAGTTGAAGGGAGGTACATATGTAATGCATGTGAAGCCAATATTCATGACATTGCAAAATTAATCAATGCAAAATATCCAGAGTACAATGTCCCTACAAAGTAAGAATTCCATGTTAAACCAAAAATTTGTTACTCCTAAAAATATAAAGTTAAAATCCCGCATTTTTAAAATATTGTTCAACTTGGACTTTTAGGTTCGAGAAAATTCCTAATGAGTTGGAGCATATTAGATTTTCTTCAAAGAAGATCGAAGATTTGGGATTCGAGTTTAAGTACGGGTTGGAGGATATGTACACCCAAGCTATTGACTCATGCAGAGAAAAAGGACTTCTTCCTAAAGCCATCAAAGCTATTAACTCGGGCAGAGAGAAAGGGCTTCTTCCTAAAGCCATCGAAGCTATTGACTCGTGCAGAGAAGAAGAGGTTCTTCCTAAAAATATTGAAGTTCTAAAAATGAACGGAGTCACACAGAAATAATCATAAGCTATGTGTCTTCATGTGTGTGTTATGGTTTAATTAAGGATGGTGTTTTTCTTTATATGTTCTTGAATGAGTTTTCTTTTGTAGCCTAATATTTGTGTGCAAGCCCAAGATCTCATTTTGTATTCTAAAAATTATTGTTATGCATGTTGTATTTCAAGTTTGAAAAGTCTCATCGAAGTTTGGAATAAAATAAAGTGGACTTCAAAGGCAATGAAACACAAAATGGCATCATAATGTAAGTAAAATAAGAGTAAGATTTAGAAGAATAGTTATGAAGAAGTGAAGGTATAAAAGAGAGGAATGTCATCTTTGTATTATGCTCTTTAAATTAATTTACAATATGCAATATGAATCTTATTTATAGGATTTAAATGTTGAAAATGACAAGCATGTGAAGTATCACATTAACGCTATCAGTTATGTCATTAACCATTCACTAAGGGTCTGTTTGGTTCAAATGAGGGGGAGGGGAGGGGAGGGATTTTAATGAAGGGGAGGGGAGGGGAGGGGAGGTGAAGGAATTTTTTAATCAAATAAGTGTTTGGTTCAAAAGAGAGGAGGGGAGGGGAGGGGAGGGATTTTAATTAAAAATGTGTTTGGTTCAGAAGGGGAGGGGAGGGGTTTTATTAATAATTTACAGTTTTATCCTTATGATCTTATATAAGTCATACGATATTAAAATGTGAAAAATTCGTGCGTATTTTTGTTGATAATAAAATTTCTAATATTGAGTGATTAAAAAAATACTTATTTGTCACAAAGTTAAAAAATTGAGTATAATTGATTCGACTTATAACTTTCCAACATAAATTAAACTATATGCCAATAACATCGTTTAAATTATGATCAATCATATAACAAAACAAATATATAAAATAACTTATTACTAAATATTAATGGTTCAAAATATTTAATAAAATGAATAAACAAAAATAAATAAAATGATATGGTTTACAATTTGATATAAAAGAAAATATGATAGAGTACATAACAAAATTAAAAGAAAAAAACAAATATAACGAAACATAATTTTTTTATAAAAAAAAGACAATGATTATGATTTATATTAATTATAAAAATTATAAAATAATTTGAAGGTGGAGAACAATTATAATAATTTGATGAAAACAGTCGAGAAAAAACAGTAACACAAAAGATAACAAGTAGTTTTGAAATAATAAAATTAAACTGAGGATATTTTAGTAAATATAATAAATTTTAAATATTAAAACTCATATTCCCTCCCCTCCCCTCCAAATCCCCCCAATTCGGAGGAAACCAAAAAATGTGTTTTGGAGGGATTTTGCTCCCCTCCCCTCCCCTCCCCTCCCCTCCTAAAATTTGAACCAAACACATTTAATTAAAAATTTCCCCTCCCCTCCCCTCCCCTCCCCTCCATCTACCCCGAACCAAACACACCCTAATGGAAGTTCTACACCATACTAAAGAGTGTGAAAATCTAAGAGGAAATGGATATCCAAATTAAGATTATTTCTTAATATTGTTAAAATTGTTTTTACAACGATTCTTGACAATGTATTTCATTAAAACTATAAAAAAAATAGTGAATTTTTTTTTACAATATCTTTTGTGAGACAAGTGTTTCACTAAACTATGATGCAGAAAAAAATGCATAATATCTTTATTCATTTCTCTCATATATGCAATAATATTTGAGATGGAAAAAAAATATATCTTTTCTTTACTATTTTTTTAAAATCTTTGATTAGCTGTATGAATATGTAAACATTTTTGTTATGTCATCTTTGAAGTACTTTTCTTCAAATTAGAAATGTATGCATTTGTACTATTAAAATGTATAAGATATGTGTATTTTTTTTTATAATGGGGAGACTCAGAGGTACTAATAGATATATTATAGTTTTGGGGTTGAGGGAAAAATCGTGACAGCTAGTGGTCTTATAAGGTGATTTTTGAGACTGTTTGAGAAACCAACTCACGTGAGATGAGCAACTTTGTCGGTGGCTGGCACTGCTAGGTGCAGTCGGGCAATTGAATTGACGGTGTTAGGACTACTCAGAGTAAAGTGTTCTCTAAGCAGTATTAGATGTGTACAACTTGATTCCCCTATCCCATTGAGGGATATTGTATTTATAAGGATCTCCGATACCTAGGTTTTTGCCTCTTCTGGACGTGATATTAATTGTTCTCCACTTATTAGGAGGTTATTGACCGCCCATATTATTGGAGTAAGAGAGGAATCTCTCTCACATGGCATGTGCCCTCCCAGAAAAATTCCTTAGATTTCGTCTAGGTGGTCCATCTTCTAGGTGAGGATGTCTTAGTCTAGGATTTTTTGTAACACCCTAAATCCCAAATAAAATTTATAAAAGCATTATGAAAAACTATGAAGATAAAATAAGGGTGTCATATTGACAAAACATTCAACTTTCAAATTTCAAATGAAGTTTTAATTCAAAAACATAGGCTAATGAAGATCCAAAAAGTTAATAGAGTCACAAAGAAATAATCATAGACTATGTGTTTTCATGTGTGTTATGGTTTAAGGACCATATTCTTCATTTTTATATTCTTGAATGAGGTTTTTTTAGCCTGAATATTTGTGCAAGCCCAAGATCTCATTTTGTATTCTAAAAGTTATTGTTATGCATGTTTTATTTCAAGTTTGAAAAGTCTCATCAAAGTTTATAATAAAATAAAGTGGACTTCAAAGGAAATGAAACACAAATTTGGCATCATGACATAAGTAAAATAAGAGTAAGATTTAGAAGAATAGTTATGAAGAAGTGAAAGGTATAAAAGAGAAGAATATCATCGTTGTAAAATGCTCTTTAAAATAATTTACAATTCAGTATGATTTTTTATATATAAAGGAGGAGCTAAGCCTCAAAATAAAACCTAAACAGAAACCAATTTAGCAATAGAGGATCTTGCTAAGCCATCCTCATAAAACTTTTCTATAAATGACGGACACGACTAAAAAAAACAATATCCTTGATATGAATTCCTTTTTTTTACAAGGACATCCACATAAAGGTTAGCTTCCCAAAAAACATGCGACACTTTGATATCCCTGTCAGCTTGAAAAAAAAGACTTTATTTTCTTGATAATCTCTTTCCCCGAGATACTACTAGTATAATTGTTATTAATATCATTCACCATCTGATGAGAATCCACACAAATGTCAATCTTATTAAATCCCATCTCAATAACAATCTGAACGCCTCCAAACACACCCACAACTCAGCGATATACACTTCACAAATTCCTATTTTCTTAGCAAACCCTCCAAGCTACTCTCCTTCATTCCCTCTTAAAATGCCTCCACATCTAGCTATCCCTCGATTATATCTAGCCTCATCCGAGTTAAGTTTTACTCTCTCCACACTAGGAGCCTCCCACTTAACACCTATCCAATCCTTTTGGATGCTCTCGATTAACAACCAGACTATTGCTTCTTTCCTAGTTATAATCATTAACTTGTCTTAATATGCAATTCACCATATTAGAAGGTCGAGAATAATCTTCTATATGACTTTCTCTATTATGTCAACTCCATAAATTATAGCACACAATGGCACAAATAGACTTCCACTCAACATTTGTATTCCATACCATATTATATTGCATATTAACATCTACCTAATTATCCAACGACAATCCCGCTTGTTAGTATGCACTGCCGCTTGCCATAAAGGCATAGCCAACGGGAAATCCCGAAGCACATGAAGTGAATCCTCCTTTGCATCTCCACAATACTAACACATAGCACTCCCTAACCCATCCTGCTCTTCTTAATATTAGTATGGAGCCCATTATGTTTGAGAAGCCACATAAATGTCTTAACCCTCTTCATACCCTGGATCTTCCAAATATCCTTCCACCTATCATTCTCTTCCACCTTATTCCCCATATCAAATACATCATACATACTCCCAACTGTAAAAAAATTCCCATGCACGCCTAACCCCACACACATATCCGGTCCAACCTCATTAGTTGGAGGATCCGAACATGCAATTCCATTCAAAATACTATCCGGTAACCAGCCACTAAAGTTGCTCCAGTTCCAATCACCTTCCCTACTAACCAAGTCAACAACCTTAGCTTGCTAAAGATGACTCGAGATATCAACGTCCATTTCCATTATACGGATATCCAACCCAATGCATTTAGAATCCCAAGCACTCACTGCTAAACCATCTCCCACCTTCCAAACACTGTATTTTTTCACTTCTGGCCAAATCCTCATGACACTTTTCCAAAAAGATGAGTCAGTATTCCTCATAGTAATATTGATGTCTTCCCGGTTGCTACCATACTTTCCTCTAACGACACATCACCAAAAATCTTCACACCCGCTATGCAATTTCCAACCAATTTTAGCCAAACATGCTCTGTTCATTATATCCAAATTTCATATGCCAAGACCTTCTTCCTCCTTGGGTCGAGTTATCATGGTCCACTTAACTGCATGGTACTTCTTCCTATCCTCAGTATCGCCCCAAATAAAGCGTATCTGAAGTTTTTGAATCTTCTTAATGTAGGCCCTTTGTAACAATGTTGTCATCATCAGGTAAATTGGCAACACTTCAATTACACTCTTTGCGAGAGTGACTCTTCCAACAAAGGCAATATTGTTTCCTTTCCATGCCCTTAACTTGGAGCTCACTTGATCTATGATATATTGATAGTCTGCTCATCTAGGTGTTTTCCCCGTAATCAAAACTCCCAATACTTGCCAAGAGAAGTTGTTTCTTTAAATCCTGACATGTTCAAAATCTGCTCATTCATGCTTCTAGTCACATTTTTAGAGAACGAGACATGAGTTTTTATCTTGGTTCACTTGTTCTCCTAACAATGTACAAAACTTATTCAGGTTGCGAATAACACAGTGCATTTGTCTCATTGTCGTTTCTTCGAACAATAATAAGTCGTCAACAAACATGAGATGTGACACCATAGGCCCATGTTTACCTACCTTGATAGCCTTCGACCCTCCCTCTTCAAG